CAAAAGTTGTTTTTAAGTAATTATACATGTAGAAACAACAAAATACAAAATCGCTGGGTGAAAATAGCTTTTGCTTTCACATTCTTCTAAAGTCTCTGCCCAATTAAAGGTTGCAATGGGTATTTATGAAGGAAACAAGAGACTTGTACCCATATTATAAGGGGTCGTGACATAGCAATAACTTTTTTATAACTTTCTTATATAATTTACATATAAAGATAACTTTTTTTTATAACTTTCTTATATAATTATATAATTTTCATATGTTGTTAAATGAGTGACTAATATTCGGCTCCAAATAAATAAAAAGAATTAATCATTTAAATGACATGTAATGTCATACAAACAGTTTGTCTCTAAATCATTTGCCTCTCGTAAGAGCTGATGGATGCTCAAGGATGGGGAAAGTGGCAAAGGTATTGACCCCTTTCTGATACTCTCATGATTTGGTTTGTTTTAGCTTTTGGGTTAGTGTATGTCTGTAGCAATCCTTTTGTTAGTGATTAGCTAGTGCTTGAAAGCTATTTCAGGGCAGTATATTTGGCCTTGAAATCAAATTGCCAAGAAATTGCCTTGTTGAAACCAGAGCCAGACCCTTCTGTTCTGTATTTTTAACAAGATTTGTCAAGGGCATTGCAATAAATACATTTTTTTAATAATTAATTTATATAAAAGATTACAAAAATTGACCTTGATTTTAATATCATTGGCAGGTAGATAAATTTAATTGGAACTGAGCCACATTCATGCCTTATTGCTTCAAAAATTTTCTGTAAGTTACTACTAGTCTTTGCCTTTCTCTGAAGCTTACTTTTCTTTGTGTTCATTGTTACTTCCATTCCATCTTTTGATCTTCTTATGCAACCTTTTGGCTTTTTACTAGGTCCCTTGTATTGTCTGGGATGCCTAACCATACATCAAATCAGTAATGGATGCTGTTTCTTTCCTTCATAACACTGCTCAGCTCTGAAGATTCTGTGAATTTTCACACCGCTCAGCTCTGAAGATTCCATGAATTTTCCATAACCAATACAACTTTTCTTCCCAATTCCTCTATAAAGTCTAACTGCAGGTATTATTAATTTATAGCTGAGTATTTGTGATAGTTTCTTTTACGTTTTAAAATTTCCACTTTCTCTGTTGGTTCTGATCTGAACTCAATATCTTAGCAAGTTCCAATATGCCTGGACCAATGAGCATGTTGTATCAGCATCAAATTATTATATTATTTTTTGTAGTTATATGGTAGAAAATACAAGAGGAAGGAACTTGGGAGATTCCTTAACTCAACACACCAATAATTTTTTAAGCAAAATAATTTTGGGCCACAAAACATGATAAGAGGATGATACTTAATGACAAAATGGACTAGTATGCCGTTCCTTTGAAATTTCCACCTTCACATGGACCCTGAGTCTCCCCTCTGCTTGTATTTTTCAGTTTGTGTATTTAAAATATTGGAGCAGAAAGTGGAAAAAGAACGCGTTTGTAATTCCTGCTTTTGTAAATATCTAATTTATTTTTTTTAACTTTTTGATGCAGAAAATGAGAAGAACATATTATAGAGTAATAAATTTACATTTTACCTAAAAAAAAAAGAGCATATTATACAATTTTGAATATCTAACTGTGAAATTCCTCCCCTTGGCCATCAAGAACCTGGTTTGGAATTGGTTTTCTAACTCAGGTGTTTCATCATCCTTGTGCTTGTTAAAGCTAGAACACATGATCATGCTAAATCAATCTTGATGTAGTTGTCCCCATTCTTATAAAGGTATTTTGTCGGTTCTTTTTCTGGTGCTTTAATTTGAGGAATTCCATGATTTCTGATTCCTTAAAATTAGAAACTTTTGCTTTTATGGGTTTCAGATGTCAAGTCAACTATGCCTATCATTATTAAGGCCTTAAGGGGGGAAAGGTTGGAACCTCAATAATTTGTAAGCTGTTAGCGTATTCTTGAAGTTATCAGAATGACTAGGATCTTAAGTTAGATTCTCTCCTGTTTTGGCTTTGCTAGTAAGGTACATCTCAGATAATGATAAATTTCATAACATAGATGCAGCTTTGGATACAAACCTTTTTCATTATTGGATGTGATAAGACTTCCAAGACTAGATGAACAAGATTTATCATCTGGGAGAGATGAAGCCACATGCATTTAATCATTGCCATCATTGTATAGATGATAATGTTACATGGAAACTAGTAGAGATTCAGATACTGTCCTAATTCAACACCCCATAGAAGAAAGCTATGAAAAAAAAGTTAGAGGGAAGCGTGAAATGATTAAGAGAAAACATGAATGAAACAAGTGAAGAGAAACAGAAGCATAAGAGAAGGGCAAAGACAAGCCAGAGAAAAATTTGAAGCCATTGAATCTCAACAAACTCTGCTCATCATGACCAACAAGTAGAAACCCTCCTTGTTAAATTCATGCTCAATGGCTTCAAATTTTTCCCCAGCTTTCCTCTTCCTTTCTCTGAAGCTTGTTGTGCTCCTCACTTATCTCTTCCATCGTTTCTCTAAATCAGATCTCTGTCCTCCAAAATCTTTTTTCATGGCTGTTGTATCTGGGTTGCTGAATTATAAACTAAATCATTTTCTCTTTTGATTCTCATGTAACAACAAAACATGAATGATGGTAATGATTAAATACCTGTTGCTTCACAAAGCTTCACAACATCTGAAAGGAGCAGTGGAGAATTCTCT